TCGCCAAACAGTTATGGTCTGCGCTTGAACTCCAGCCGATCCATCCAACACCGTAATTGCACCGTCCAAAACACGCGCACATCGTTCAACCTTAATATTTTTCCAATCAGTTCGATGATCGACGCTGATCTGCTTAAGAAACATGCTTGGGATAATAATGTTCAACAACTCCTCACCCTAAACTCTTGGCATTTCTCAACAGTAAATATCGTACATTAACAGTAAATTCCGATTGCTTTAAACATCTTTAATAAAATTCAATTCAATATAATTCAATACAAATTCAGCTCAATAATTCAAATTCAATATAAACTGAAACAAAATGAAACGAGTCTTGAACATACTATTATACCTCGAGTGTAAAATCAACATGACCAGGTGTATCGATTAAGTTGATACGATTCTGACGCCAGAATAACGAAATTGCAGCTGACTGAATTGTGATACCTCGTTCTCGCTCCAAGTCCATAAAATCAGTTATTGTATTACCTGCAATCAACATTTTAGAACTCATATTCAAGAAGATTATTGCGGCCCAGAGTTAGTCCATGCAGTGTAAAACCACTAAAACAGTAAAATGACGAATGCAGTAATGAAAATACCTGAATCTACATCGCCTAAGGTAGACGTGATACCGGCTAGATAGAGTAGTCGTTCAGTAACGGTTGTTTTGCCAGCATCGATATGAGCGATTATCCCGATGTTTCGAATCAACGACGCGTCGACATCGAGTTTCGGGGAACGCTTCAACTCATTGCCTGAACCGAAAAATTCAGTTACTCAGCATATCAATTACTGTCCACAGAAATCATTGAAAGTTTCATGGAGTAATGATTTCAATATATATCTTGCAGAAAACACGAATCAAACGAAAATTTGTGCAGAAATTTTGTTGCCTACAACAGAAAAGTCAAATGGATAAATTCCTCTCGAAAACATATGATTGAAAAAATTTTATGACAAAATATTAACGGCAAACACAATAATAGAAACTTCAAAAGAATCAATATGACTAAAAAAATTAATGAACTGACCTTTAATTTGCTTCAATCTGTGTGCGCAATAAAACCGAATGTTGCACGAATCACAAGAGTTGAATAGCCTTTTCAGCAAACGTATATGCATATTTTCAGCAATTCCTTTTAAAGAAACATTCGAAGGAAACCTTTACAAACCAAACTTCAAGACACTACTTCAACAATAAAAACTTGATTTTTTTTGCAAATTGCTTGCAACCATCGAAGTGCCCTTTAGCTATAATATAGCAATGATGCCACAATGCTTCGTTCATGTGTCTAAGCGCTCCTCCCTAATCGCCTGTTCAAGTTTCTAATGAGACAAATATGAACGAGCGTCATGGAAAATTGAATCACATCGAATGCTGGCTGATGAGTTTTGATGATGTTCAAAGGGATTTTATCCTTCAGAGGGATATTCGTTCGATCATACTTCTGTCAAAATCATTCGCTTGAAACAACTTCATCGTTTAGTGGATGCAAAACATACGACACAAGACTGTTTGATGCTAACAGCGAGGGAATATTGCCTAATGTTCAGGAAGTTATGAGAAAACATTCAAAAATTCTTCTCAGCATTCAATCAATTGCATGATTCACATGGAATTTTGCAGTTTACTTCATATGGAAGGTTAATCAACCGAATGTTGTTATCTCACTGTACCGGACTTTGGATTTCTTCAGATTTCTTGAGTTATGTTCGTTTAAGTCAGTGATTCTCGTAGGGGGTGAAATTACTGATTTTGGGTGATTTGGAGGTGTCAAGGGATAATGGAAGGGTCGGGAAATTAGTTATGTTATGATAGAACATCATTGTATCGTGTTTTTAAAAAAGGATACGTAAATGCGGTTGGTTGAGGACAACACTATTTCTGAGTATTATTAGCTCGTCGGGGCCTAACAGAGTTTTTATTCGTTTTGAAAGGGTTTTCATTCTTTTCCTTGCTGCTACAATCATTCTCATAGCTTTTATCACCGGAAGTGTTCTCTTTTGCCAATTCCTCATTCATTTCACTCAACAATTAAATTCAAATTCTCATTCTATGAAATATATTCTATAATTGATTATTTAACTGTCGAACGTTGTTAAGCATTAATATTCAATTGCTGTATTGTTGATTTCGGCTGTCAACACTCGTCAACGTATCCAGTAAATAGCATATGCTACAGAATAAGAGAATGCGCTTATCAAGGGAACGATAGTCGCATGTGATAGCTATGAGAGTGAACACAACACGTCCGAAAAGAATGAGAATCCATCTAAATCAGTTTGAAATGAGCGTGTCATAGACAATAGCTTTTCATGCAATCATAATCGATTGTAATAATGTATCAGGAGGAGGGAGGGGGTTACGGCGGCCTGCCAGATCATCAAAAGGGGTAATGGTGCACCCGAATGTGAAAACCACTGGTTCAGGTTGAATTGAGTTGTCCGGATACTGCCACCATCGATTCTTCTTGTTTCTTCGGCACCCATCCATTGGCAAACCTCATCACAAACTTATTCCTCATATAATGAAACTGCATATCATCAGGTCATACCATTAGGACAGCTTGAGCATAACATATTCACTTTGGGTTTGCAGACATTGCTGAGTATCTGATTCACAAACTCATATTGTACGATATCAGTGTACGGATAGATACATTCTCGTGAAAGATATATCCTCATGTTGAGATGAGGCTTCTCTTTGAGACTGCTATCATGATTAATGTATCATTTTCGATGCAATTTGACACTATTTACGAGTTGCAAATAAATCGCTTGTTTAGTGCACTCGTTTCAGCACGGCAATGAGAATTTGATGAGATATATGTTGTTGATAGAGATATGAAATCTGTTATTTCAATTTGTTGCATTGTAAACGGCATTTAAGAAGTTTTCAAACAAGTCATACTCCATCGATACATATGAATTTTGAACAGAATGCAATGTTACACCCGAAAATCTACCGAAGTGCTGAATTTTTTAAATTTTTTAAATGATCTCGTTGATAAGTAGATATTTGGCATGAAACTGCACACAATTGTAAATAGCCTTTGTTGATGTATTCGTTACTATGTAAATCTTTTTTTCCAGAATGAATATAGCCAGAGTTATGGGATCCTTCATATGCAAATTTTGGAATCCCTGATGGCTACAGTAGTCGATGAGTTTTTCAGTGCTAGCCGTAAAATTGCTTTTTCTCAAATTTTGAATGATAGGAATTTGAGAAAAACTTGAAAAAGAAGTTTTATGGGCTTGACAATGAAGCTTAACAACTTAGCTTAACGACTTCGATAGCTGACGGTTTATTCAATGAATTTCTAAGTATTAGCCATCATTTCGCAAATTTTCCTCAAATTCGCACCATTCAATCAAGCTTAACGACCTGAC